GGATTTTTGCTGTGGTTTGGATTCTGGCAGGTGGAGAAAGGATATCCCAGGCTGAGAAAAATCACAGCACAAAGAAGAGCACAAAGGAAGGAAACCGAAGGCACACATGAGGACTCAAGCACCCAGGCATGAAGGCAGCATCACTGAAAACTGAGGATGAACGTAGGATGGGGCCACATCCTGTAGCCTTAAATGCTTCCAAGTCCTCCCATTGTCCTAAACTTCTCATAGTTAATTTACTCCCAAAGGCACAGCATCTTTGAGCAATGATATAAGTAGACATTTCCCATCAACTACACTTCTACCCCCACTATTCAAACAGGCACAAAATAAATCCTATCACTGTTCTTTTTCTAGCCTTTTTAGCTTTGAAATATATGGCCCAGGAAGAAAAAGTTTACAGTCACTTTTTACCTGTCTGCCAGGACATAAGGGTGAGAAGTTTGCCATGTGAGAGGCCTAAACTTCATAACTGTAATAAAACGGCCCAGATTGTGCATTTCTTGGTTTTGATATTCTCCATGCACCATTCCAGAAAGGTAGAACAGCTTGGTACCCTAAACATTAAAGGAAAATTAAAAATTAATTTCAATTAAATTCTCGTCAATACTGCAACAAAATAAAAGCTCTAACAAGAAGCAATCCTAAGAAGGGAGACTTCTAGCAAAGCCACTGTCCTGAGGCTTCCAGAGCCTTGCTGGCTTCTTTCAGGACTTATTAGAACCCCACAGAGGCAGACTGCTCTGCAGCCGAGCAGGGGCATCCATCTAAGTATGGTGAGGAGAGGGAGGTGAGGCCTCTGAGCACAGAAACTGTTCTATGGCCGATGGACCAGAGCAGTATGGAAAGGAAGGGGCAGTGCCTGGTCCTGTAACTGGCAGAAACTTCTGATGTACTCTATTAAGTCCCCACCCCCAAACACCCAGACACTGCCTGGTGCAGCAGGTACAGAGACAAATGAGATACACCAAGAGGCCCAGAATAAGCACTCTCTTGAGGGAAACCTTCCAGAGACTGGCAACACAAACACAAAGGGAATTCAGGAGGCAAATCCTAGAGACGTTTAGTAACGTCTCTTCAGTCTTTCTGTTTGTTTGTTTGAGACAGAGTCTCACTCTGTCACCCAGGCTGGAGTGCAGTGGTGCAATGTCAGCTCACTGCACCCTCTGCCTCCCAGCTTCAAGCAATTCTCATGTCTCAACCTCCCGAGTAGCTGGAATTACAGGCGTGCATCATCACACCTGACTAATTTTTGCATTTTTAGTAGACACGGGGTTTGGCCATATTGCCCTGAGCTTGAAATGCCTGGCCTCAAGTGATCCGCCCGAGTCTGCCTCCCCAAGTGCTGGGATTACAGGCATGAGCCACTGTGCCTGGCCTCTTCAGTCTATTTTAAATGGATTATAACATTAGCATCTAAAAATTATTTCTCTTCCTACTGGGTAAACTTCTGTCCAGAACCTGTGTTTTAATCGCTTCTTTGGCTTCTTCAGTTTCTTATTATGCTTGAAGGAGTTGAGGTGGGTGAGAACTCCCATAATTTTAGGAAAGCCATGTACTTGACAGATGTTTAGAAACTCAAAGGTTTCCATTTCAGACCCAAAGCTGGCATCTATAAGCATCAGTACCTACAAACAGAATACATCATTTTTCAAAGAAACTACCAAAACAGACCACCTACACTAGGGATTGGCAACTGGCCCACGTGCCAAATCCACCCATCACCTGTGTTTGTAACTAAAGTTTTATTGGAACACAGCCACGTTAATTCATTTACATATTGTCTATGGCTGCCTGGGCACTACAACTGCAGAGCTAAGTAGTTGCAAAAGATATAATCCACAAAGCCGAAAATATTTACTATCTGGCCCTCGACAGAAAAGTCCCACTGCAGACTAAATCAAATGACTACACAGACATCACCCAGAGAAACCACCACCCTCTGACTTGCTCTAAAAGGCAACCGTAAGACAATGTCCACTAGGATATAAACTTTCATTTTAAGAATTCTAATGCATGAGAAGTAATGCAGAAAAGGCTGGGTCTAACCTGGTCCTTACCTATGAAATCCTAATTTAAAGAAATGAAGTTTTCTGTAATGTACTTTTAAGCCAAATAACAGGTCTCTGACATCCAAAGAATGGGAAGAAAGTGATAATCAATGAAATATATTAAATAGGTACAGAAAGCCAACCTCTTCTTTCAATCTCACACACACACACACACACACACATAAAATCTGTTTTTTGCTGGGAAGTATGCAGTGGAAACCTCTATCTTGCATGTTAATTTGTATAACTCAATAGCTCAGAAAATTTTTTAAATAGCTACCAGTTTAGAATTAAGTCAAAAAACAGTAAGATTACGATGAATGGTAGTATATAAGAAAATATAAGCAGATAAGACCAATTTTTAAAATTGAAGACCTTCAAAGATGCAAAATAATTTCAGAATTGATTCCTGGAAACTTCTAGTTTTAATATTAAAGACAGTTCTGTTCTTATCTTTCCATGGATAACTGAAAATAACAGAAAATGGAAAACAGAAATGCCCACCTTTGATTAAACTAGGAAACATTCAAAACCCAAAACCACAGAATATATGAAGTTGGGCTTGCAGGAAAGCACAACTGCCACTGCAGACCGAGGCAGCAAGCAGAGCTCTCCAGCAACACTGGACCAGCTCGAAGAACAGGTGGAAAATCCTCACACCACATCTGATGCCAGAGTGCCAAGGGGTAAGCAGCTGGCTGTAGGGTCAGGAAGAACAGGGACCAAACAGTCCCTCAGCCGCCAATCTTTGTCATCTAAGCCAGTGTTACTCCCCTAATCCACACACGCACGTACACACCCAAATCCACGTACTGTGTGTGCCTTTGCTGTAGTCAGGAGGCTTTGACAACCCAGAGCAGAGCAATCAACATAAGTTAGGCTAAATAAATTATGGTGCATCCATAGAATGGAATATTATATTAAAAAGGAGGAGGCAGAGCTACAGTACTTACTGATTATATACCTCCAAGATATATTACACGAAAAAAATCAAAGCATAGAAGAGTGTGTAAAATAAGCTACCATTTGTGTTTTTAAAGGGTGGCATGTGTGTTTATATGCATCTAGAAGGATACCGCTCTGCAGGGACCTGAGACAGTGGTTACAGCAAGGAAAGAGAAAACGCGCATTGTGTATATCCTGCATTAGTCAGAGTGCTTTACCAAATGTGTGTGCTCCTTTTGAAAATCTGAAAAAGATTTACATAGGCATCTCTCTCAGTGATGGTTAAGAGGCTGGGAAGGGGAGCAGGGAGGGAGGGACAAAGAGGGAAAAGTTAACAGGGTTAACAGGTACAAAAATACAGTTAGAATAAATTCTCGTGTCCAACAGCATAATAGGGTGACTATAATTTATTATATAATTCAGAATAACTAAAAGAATGAAATTAAAATGTTCCTAACACAAAGAAATGATAAATGTTTGAAGTGACAGATATCTGTACTACCCTGATTTGATCATCACACATTGTATGCTTCTATCAAAATACTACACGTATCCCATAAATATGTGTAACTATTATGCATCCATAATAACTAAAAATAAAAAAAGTAAAGGCATCTCTTAATACAGGTCTTTAAAATTAAAAACGTGCTACATTTTAAATAAAAGAGAAACAAATGACTTCTATGAACTATTTCAATCTTTTCAAGTATAAAAGATTTAGTAATCTTTATACAAGTTTACATTAATTACACTTATTTTTACTAATAGTAGCATTACATGTTCAAAATTTGAATGTTTCTGACATTACAACGGCACAAGTTTAAAATCTGTATTACTTTTTCCTTTATATTTTAGGAGTCTTCCTGGGCCAAAGTATAAAATATGTAGCTCTAGATAAAACTAAATAAAAATGAAAAAAACAAGGTATCTGTCACCCTGCACTTCCTAATCAATATGGCTTATTTTTTTGCTTTTTTTTTTTTTTTTTGAGACAGAATTTCACTCTTGTTGCCCAGGCTGGAGTGCAATGGCGTGATCTCGGCTCACCACAACCTCCACCTCCCGGGTTGAAGTGATTCTCCTGCCTCAGCCTCCTAAGTAACTGGGATTACAGGCATGTGCCACCTCACCCAACTAATTTTGTATTTTTAGTAGAGACGGGGTTTCTGCATGTTGGTCAGGTTGGTCTCGAATTCCCGACCTCAGGTGATCTGCCCACTTCGGTCTCCCAAAGTGCTGGGATTACAGGTGTGAGCCACTGCGTCTGGCCTTTTTTTTTTTTTTTTTTTTGCTAATTTGTATTTTATTTTTGCTAATTTAAAAGATAGTTAATAGAATATCAGAAATAGTGAACATTATCATTTCCATAAATGCAAGAGCCTGTACATTTTCCACACATTGAGTACTATTTAAATTTTCTATTGATAAATTCTGACCTCTTCTTCAGGCAATTCATGTACTTACTTTAGCAATATTATTAAGGATGAAGGTTCTAGAACCATCAGGAACAAGGGTCCCATCTTCACACAAGTTACTTAACTGCTGGGAGGCTCTATTTCATCTTATGTAAACTACAGATAATACCTACTCGCCTCAAGGGTGTATCAAGGGTTTACGTAAGCTAAATTTGTAGAAAGCAGTTAGCAGAGTGCCAGGAAGGGTCCAAGAAGAAACGGTACTTACTATGATATATTTGTACATATATATGTATGCATGTTAATGAGTTCTTATTAGCTGTGTTCATTAAAGGTTTTCTCCATCCTGTCATTTGCTTTTAGATTTTGGAATACATTTCATTGTGCACATTCCATTTGTATTATTAATATAACAACATTTATCACTATTATTATTGTCATCATCAATTCAGTTACATTTACTGTATCCCTGATGATGACCATGTTTCCTTTAATAATCATAAACTCTCTTCCCTTTATCACAGGGTAAATAACCTATCACAATGCTGTAAGTCTCCATCAGCACCCCAGGCTGCCCCTGCTGACTTACCAGATCTGCTGCTTTAGCCAGATCAATCATCATGTTAATATCACACCCACATTCAATAATGGTGAGTCTGCGCTTTTTACCTATAAGTGAAAAGATGAAAATTCTACTTTAAAAAGACTCTGAAAAAACTCTAACCGTCAACTCTTAATTTTCATTTTTTAATTGCATCCAGTAAAACACCATATATGCTTACAGGAGTGTACCCGAAGTTCATTTTTATAGGCAAAAACTGGTAAAATAAATTCCATCCTGTTTTTCTTCCTGTGTTCTAAATTTAGATAATATCAAAAGTCTACCCAGATGAATAAAAGTGCTCAAACAGGGAAAATTCTGACTAGACAGGCTCCATGATAACCATGATCTTGCTGTTCAGCTGCGGGCCAATGTCTTCACCTCTATCAAAATTTCCTGTATTCCCACTATCGCTAAAAACATCCTCAAACAGAATGCAACAGAATACTTATAACAATAATAATTTCTAAATTAAGGTAATAAGAAAACGGTCAAGAAAATATGGGCTGGGCACAGTGGCTCACGCCTGTAGTCCCAGCACCTTGGGAGACCAGGGCAGGTGGATCCCTTGAGCCCAGTTTTGAGACTAGCCTAGGCCACATGGGTAAACCCCATCTCTACAAAAACATAAAAATTTTAAAAAAAGGAAAAAAAGGATAAATTAGCCAGGCATGGTGGCATACACTACTCAGGAGGCTAAGGTAGGAGGATTGCTTGAGCCTGGGAGGTTGAGGCTGCAGTGAGCTGTAATCACACCACTGCATTCCAGCCTGTGCCACAGAGTAAGACTCTGTCTCAAAAAAAGGAAAAGAAAATATGGATGCTCCAAAGATAAAGAAAAGCCTCAATCCAACTATATTACTGCAATAACAAGAGATTTCAGAGTGTGCATTGCCATTCTACCACTGGAAGTTTGTTTAATTTTCCTTCAAACTTGGAAAGGTCACCGTCTCCCAAAGCTGACAAATTCTCATAGGGAAAAGAGAAAAGGCGCACTTCCACCAGCATGTGGTTTCATAAGGGCAAGCATGTGCACCTGGCACATAGGAGGTACGTGCTCTCTGTTAAATGATGTGTTCACAGTGACAAGGCCTGCTAGGCCCTTCCAAGGAACATGCATGGCAAAGCCATAGAGCAGTCAGGATAAGATATGTATCATATCCTTATCTCTGGGAACTTACCCTTTTCTGAAGTTATAGCTAACTTAGTAAAAGTATAAGAGAGGTAACATGATATGGTAATATTTAACATGTTTCACTCAAGAAAAAAACAAACACACGCATGTCCCTCAGATGACAACAGCCATGCCAACTCTGTGTCTGTGGCGGCATCTCCTACCTGACATGATCCTCACAGGGCCTCTGATCTTGGTCAACTTCTGCCGGATGAAATTCCCAATGAGGCATTATATCAAAGTGCTCTTTCCAACTTTGGAGGCCCCGTCACCACTGCCACTATTGGTGGGGGCTCTAGTGGAGTTCAATCAACCACTGGCATATGATGCTTTCTTATCTTCAAATCCTAAGTCCCATTTATTTAAAAAAAAAAAAAAAAAAAGGAAACTCACTTTCAAAATAGAGTAAAAGGTATCAACCTTATAAGTAGGCTTTTTTTTTTAGCATACTTACAGATATGAGTACTTTAGTATATAGAGAGTAAAACAGACAATATAAAAATATAAGCAACTTGTCAATTATTAACTTCTGACCCCTATCCAAGTCAATTGCTGTTCAATAAAGATGTAACAAGATGACTTCAATAGTATAGAGTTGAAAATTAAACACTCCTTAAGTCTGACTGCTTTACAAGTGATTTTAATAATTTTTTAAAAACCAAAAGGTAAATACCGAGGCAGTGCATCATAACAGATAAGAGCAGAGGCTCTGGAGTCAAATTTGGCTCTCCTACATACTGGTTATATGATTGGAGGTAACATGTTTTCTTGACCTTAGTTTTCTTGTCCATAAAATGAGGTGAGGCTGCTGGAAGCATTTAGTTGAATAATGTTTAAAGTACACTGCTAAGAATATCACAAGGACTCACTAAATAAAGCTATGTTAGTATTACATATTTTAATTTTTGTATTTTATATTACAACTTTGTAAAACATATCCAGAGGGAAAAAAGCACACTTATCACCACAGAAACAGTTTAAAGTTTAGGAAGAAACAAATTCTATAAATTCTTGTATCTTGGGCAAGAAACACCAAGCAGTGTGCAGATGCTGGAGGCAAGGCAGCTTCTATGGCAAAGCTTCTCACATTTTAGTAAAAGCCACACAGCATGCATCTCCATGTCCTTTGGAGCTGGACTAGACTTGTGACTCCAAATGTCACCGGTGAGAGGCTCCTACTATTTAAAAAGAATCAATGGAAGAACCATCAGGCTATAGCTAAACATAGCTGTGAAAGGATCGAGCCATCCGCACAGCAGACTGAACTGCAAAAGCTTTGGGATTTATCTTCCAGGCATCTTCTTCGTCTCCTAGCTGGAGATCCTGCAGATGCCGCTTCTTTTTCTTTGCAGCTTTGGGCCCACTGTTTTTCTTTCTGTGTTTCCCTGGTCCTTAGTTTCCATAGTGGCTACTTACCAATAACAAGTAACTGTAACCTACAAGGAAGAAGGTTGGGGTAAGGAGGTGGGAGAAGCATTTTACAATCCAGTCAATACACAGGGAAAAACATTAAATTTCATTTATTTCTTCATGAAGAGATGATGTATATACTTGTTCACTGAACAAGGGTAGAAACTGCTTAACCATCCCCTAATTTCATTTCTGTTATGCTATAAATTAGATGAATTGCCTCTGCTAAGGGTACATTTTATGGTTAAGTTACTTTTTATTCATCTCAGGTGTCAACATCAGCAGTATCTATTTCTGAAAGGATGAAAATATTCCATATCTGTACTTTTCGGCCATTTAGCCATTAGCCACACGTGATTACTTAAAATGTAAAGAAACTGAAAAAATGAATTTTTAATTAATTTCATTCTAACTCTAAATAGTCACACGTGGCTACCATACTGGACAGCTCAGACCTAGATATAAACTGGACTAATGAAGTGGTTTCCTAACTTAAACTAAAACTTAAATTTTAATAAAAAATTTAAAACGTTTTTATGAACTTTCAATATGATCGCAGTATTACTTTTAGTACCTGTTGACTCTGTAAAACTCCTAAATTACAGCTCATCTACATACATTTGAAAAATAGCAGTATCTGTATGTATGAGATATGACCAGTTCTAGATGACGCCATGGAGAACTAGATGGAGACCCCATGGACTTATAGAGACCCTTCCACTGATTTCTGATATACCTGGGAATCTGTGGCCAATGAATTGGTAATCACTGAATTAGTGAGTTTTTTTAGGATATGGGGCTGCACAAAATCTGACAGCTTGATTGAAAAAAAGCGGGGCAGGGTGCCATTTCATTCAATTAAGGTCTTGTATTCATTCCGTTTAATAAATGTTTGTATCTGTCTATGATGTGCTAGCCACTGTGCCAGTAAATGGATACAGTTATGATCTGACTTGCAGAGGAAATCCAAACTAGTATCTTCCGTGCCATGCAATAAGGGCTACACTGCAAGGCTGCACAGGGTGCTACTGGAGCACAGAGGTGAGTCAGAGGCTTCCCACAGACACACACGAGCGGAAACAGAAAGTCTTTATATATCACCATAATGTCAAGGAACACTGGCCGGGAGTTAGGAGAGCTGGGCACTAGGAACGCTTTGAAACTGAATAGCTGTGTGATTTCAGAGGTTATGTTGCTTCTCTACTATGTTTTAGTGCCGAACTTGTACTGTTTCTCTCCCTTTTCTTCCTGGTGGGAAAAGCACAATTTGGGCTCAACAGATTCGGCGGCTCAGGTCTAAGTCGCCTGCCGGGGCCACGTTGCCAGGAAACGACGTCTCCCCGACACCTTTCCTCCCAGTCCGGGCTCTCTGCAGGGATTCATCCCGTCACTCTCCCAACGACCCCCGGGCACACCTCCAGCAGATGCTAAATATGCTGCTCCTCGTGAGCAAAGATGACCCGGAGGACGGGCGGAGGACCTTCCCACGCGCACGACTCGCGATCTTCCCAGTGCCCCAGAGCCAAGGACCCCACGGCCGCCTGCCCCAGCCCGCGCACCGAACCTGCTCACAACTACAACTCCTTACGGCCGCTTGGACACCGCCGGAAACGGAAATTCACCCTCGGGCCGACTCGCCGGAGGGAAACAAAAAGGCAGAAAAAAGACTGCCGCCTGGACGACTTTCAGGGGAGAGCGGGAAGAAAGACTCGTTAACAGCTGAGTGCAGGCGCCAGTGCCGTCTGCGCGGCGCGTTCCACCGGATCCGCGTCCCTCCGGATTCAGCCCCACCCAGCCCTCGGAATCCGCTGCCTCAACTCCCGCGGTGGGACTCCGGAACAGCGTGCACCAGCGAGTCCTCGCTGAAGGCCAGAGCAGCTGTGTGGCCTGGCGCTGGTTACTTGATGCGGTGCAAAACCCAGAAGGAGACACATTTGGTTCTGGCCGCCCCGCAGTCACTGTACCCGGGGCGAATGGACTATGGCTGGATTGGGAGTCCACTTCCTCCCCCGTAAAGATGACAGACAAGGGGGATCTCGCGTTCTGGGGGTGCCCGATAGCCCTCTTTTGGCCGGAAGCGGTGGCTCACGCCTGTAATCCCAGCCCTTTGGGAGGCCAAGGCGGGAGGATCGCTTGAGCCCAAGGGTTCAAGACCAGCCTGGGCAACATAGGGTGACCCCGTTTCGCGGGGTGGCGGGGAGGGGAAGAAAGAAAAGCCGGGCACGGTGGCTCACGCCTGTAATCCCAGCGCTTTGGAAGTCCACGGCGGGAGGATTGCTTGAGCCCAGGAGTTCAAGACCAACCTGGGCAACATAGGGAGTCTACGTCTCCCAAAAAAAAAAAAAAAAAAAAAAAAAAAACACCCAGCGTCGTGGTGGGCGCCTGTGGTCCCAGCTAATCTGGAGGCTGAGGCGGGACGATCGCTTGAGCGTGGGAGGCGGAGGTTGCAGTGAACTGAGATCCAGCCACTGCACTCCAGCCTGGGTGACAGAGCAAGACACTGTATCAAAGAAAAATAAATAAATAAAACAAGGCCCTCCTTTTCCAGGACCAACAGACTCTGAGGGCAGGGACAAACTGCCTCCCCTTCCCTGCTCCCGGGAAAGGGGCTTTCCCTGAGGGAATGTAGCATCTTGCCATTTTCTTCCTGCACAGCTTTGTCTTCCCAGGGATCCACCCACTGCCATCTGAGGAAACGCCTTGGAGCCCATCTAGCCCCTAGCCCAGCTACTTGGGACGCCTACAGAGCGTACATTGTCAGAGGATGCATCTTCCTCTAGTCTTGGAGGGTTTCTTTTCAATATGATCCCACCGGTGCACTCAAGGCTCAATTCTACACCAAAAAACTAGGCCCATTCCTGTCACCGAGACCCCCAGGCTTCAGGTCCTGTCACAGGGACCTTGCTTTTGCCCCCAGCAGCCCCCAGGTATTCACTCTGCATAGGCTATATACTGGGTGCTAGACTAGGGAGGCTACCCACGTGGCGCATGCTTCCCTTATCCCTGAAGAGCTTAGTATGTAACTTCTTCACACTAGGCCTCTTACTTCTTGGAGATGTCAGTATCCGGGTAGATAATCCTTCTAACATCCTTTTGGTCTCATGAAGCCTACTCTTGTCCTCTGCCCTACCTCAGCTTCCCCCTCCCTCCATGATCAGACCTTAGACCTTGTCAGGTCCAAGGACTGCAACCCTCACAGTATCCCACTCTGACCACCACCTCCTATCTAGAGCAATGGAGAGACTTTGTAGGTGAAAGCCGTCTTTGTTACTGGTTCTCCTATGCTCCCTCGCCTGGCTCCTGCAGGTGCTTGACTTCTTCAGGGACACGGTGGCCAGTGCCCAGCAGGTTCCACTCCTCCCACCAGCTCCAGGCAGTTTTGTTATAGAGTAACTCTTCTGAGACACCGCTCCTTTCCCCAGCACCTAAGGAAGTATTTCTAGTAAGTTCCAGTGGTATAGCACTGGTGACTTCCCTGACATGCAGAGGGCCATGGCTGGGTTCCTCTGGTGAGGTGCAGGGGCAGGGCACTAAGAGGGGAGGACTCTCCTGAGTTCCCTACCTCAGCCCTAGACTAGTGGCTACTCCTACTATACTTTCTACTAGTCTGTGCCTGGTTACTCCACTTCCATGTTAAAATTAACAATTCCCTATGTACACTTGTCCTGTTCAAATGACTGTGTGGCTTCCCTTTCCTAATTGGACTCTGACCAATATGCTATCATTTGCCAACAACTCCCAAATTTTTATCAGTGACTCAGACCTCTAACCTGAACTCCAGCTGCCTCCATGACATATCCATTTGGATGTTTAGTAGACATTTCCAAAGTGATATGCCCAACAGAACTCAGGATCTTCCCTCTCAAACGAACTGCTCAGCAGTCTTATGATCTGAGTTGATGGCAACTCAGAACCGAATTGCAGGACACCCAGTTTGTATCT